AACAAATTTGCATTTAAGGTGAAAAATCTTTCTGGTGTGTCAATATGTTATATCCAGAAAAATGTTTAGTTTCACCTGGTTTAATTTTGTAAAAAAAATATATTTTTTAAGGAGCCTTTGGCTATCTGAATATGAATCGATTAATCGAAAAAATAATCGACAGTTTAATCGATTTGCAAAATAATCGTTAGTTGCAGGCCTAGAATGAACCGAAAACTAAGGCATCTTGAAAGCCTTGAGTGAAACTAAACCAAAAATGGATTGACTGTGATTAAAACCATCCAAAATCGAAAACCAACCAATTTTAATAAAATCTGGAAAATCTGAAACTTTCTAATGGAGTTTAAACTACATTCATTTGTAAATATGTTTAAAACTGAATGTATAATTCTAACCCTGAGTGGATTAGAGAAAATCTCTTAAAAAGAAAAAAAATTAACTTTTATATTCCTGTCCAAGATGTGTGTTGTATCATCGGTCCATGCTGAAGGTTTTAATTGTCAAAAGCCCAAAAAACACAAAGCTCTTAATGCAACTATAAGGCATTAGAATGATAGTAGAGCTTTAAAAAAAGAGAGATTTTGTCTGATTGGTTGGGAGTGGTGTTCTTGTGGTTAGGGCATTATGCTTGGAATCCAGAGGTTCTCAGACTGCCACTCTGGGTCCCTGAGCAAAGACCCTTAAACCCACACTGCTCTCTTGGCGCCACACAGAGGCAGTCCACTGCTCCCCAAACGAATGGGTTAAATGCAGAAGTTAATTTCTCCAATGTGAGATCAATACATTTAAATTATTACTTAAAAAGAATTCTCAGAAATGTAACCAATATATATGAAGCAGATAAATATCAGAAGACACCTAAAGTCCCAGGAGGCAGCAAGCCTTTAACTTAAACATTACAGGATATATTTTTATCCAGCAGCATCCCAGTTCTTAGTTGTGTGAGAACTGATGGAGCTTCCTTGGTAGCACTCAGGAGAAAGAGGCCAGCAGGTTTATATGGAAACAACTTCTATAAAATTCAACCAAAGGGACATATAAATAAAAAATACTTTATGGCTTACAGCTAAAAAGAGCTTTGAAAATGGCTTTGACATCCCTGAGCAAAAAAGTTTGGAGCTTTGGTGACTCATTTCTTTGCTCTTTTCTTTAAAAGCTGATTGCTTCCTGTTTTTAAACCAAACATCTCTAGTAGCGATTTATCAGTATAGGTAGAAAATTCTCTAACAATATATGATTGATCTCACAGAGCATAAACTCTTTCTTTTTTTTTTTTTTTTTTAGGTAAGAATAACATAGAGTTAAACCCAAGATGCATCAAAAGTTTGACCACCTGGGCATAAAAACATTCTGCTAAATGATGAATAAATTAACGTTCACTCAACAGCACAGTCAATATTTCATAGCCAGAGAGTGTTGGCTGAAACAGTAAACAGAGCGTAAAATTATGTTGTTCTTCCACATCTTAAAAATAAAGCCCAGATCTGCTCTTTACCATTTAACGTTAAAACTCTTATTCTGTGTAAAGCACGCTGGACCAGTATTGTTGCTTAGTTCATCAGGATAATTCATCAAATGCTTTAACAAAAAAGAAAGGTCAGCTACTCTTTGAGGTGGTTTAGAATAAAAATAAAAAACTGTTGTTAAATAGCTATTATTAAATAAAGAACCTGATAAATGATTGAGGTCATTTTATCCAAACAGCAGCTCATACTTTACATGTTTCACCTCTGCAGGCTAAAAAGGAAAAGAGGAGGGAAGATTTAAGGAAAGGCTTCTCCTTCTTTCAGAGATATGTCACAGAAAGTGGACCTGTTTTTCTCCATATATGTCTGTACATAGCTGAGTTTCTGAAACATGTGAAACACAGAAGGCTGTATCTATTTTTAGATCAGAATCGAAGAAGAAATACAGTGGGAACATGTCCGTCCACTAGACCTCCCCCTCCTCCTTGTCCCTCTTCGACCTCCTCCCCTTCGCCCAGCAGTTCTGATTGTGTTCCTATACAAAGTCAGGAAACCGTCTGGCCTCTGAGAGCTGCCTTGTTGTGAGGAAACCCGCTGCATGCTGGGCTCACGTCCAGGGCCAGCCCTAACTCCCTGCCATTACTCCACCCACACAGCCACTTACATCAACATGGAGGAAGACAATCAAAACATTCACAATTTAAATTATTTTCAACATTATTATGACATTTTCTAGTTTATCTTCAAGCATTCGGTTATCTAAATACATTTATGCCTTTATAAACAAGGCCCCGTCTTTTGAATTACAGATACAATAAATAAATGACAAGTCTTTTTGTTCATTTTTGTTCATTTGTTTTATTTAATTAATTTTTGAATATTTAATGATAAACATTTAGTCAAACATAAAAATGTGCACCATTATCATTTCTTGTAGTGGTAATGAATGCTTTTTTTTTTTTTTATTAATAATCTTAGAATATTATGTTTACATCTTTAAGCTCATTTGGTAACTGATTAGGTTCAAATTTGTTTTCATTTCCTGCTTAATAACATTAGAAATACATTTTAAAAATGCATTAAAATCTAAACATTGAAACTATCTAAATTTTTATCAAGCAAATTAGTTAAAAAATAAGACAAATCAGACCATAACTCATTAGAATCAACCTGAATATCATTCAGTAAAGATTTATAAGGGGACTGAATGATGGAATAAATATATCAACTTATTACTGGTCATTATTAAAATGTGATGGAGGAAGTGTCTGCGTTGGAAAACAAATTTCAGCTTGCATCCATCTTTAACTGGCTTAGCCTCAGCAGGTGGGGTGCCAGTGAACAGCACTTATTTGCTGTGGTCGTCGGGTAAAAAGGCTAGATCCTAGATTTTCAGGACAGATTTTCAGAGTTCATTTATATTTCTGTAACATTTTTATGTCTAATTACAAACCAGTTCCTTTTTATTGGAAGGAAAACAATGATTCTCCTTCCGAGTGGGGAGCATGCAGGAGTGCGTGTAGTGATGGAGGAGGATCCTCCGTATCAGAAAAATGTGTTTCTGAGAGACGCGTATTTATTGATCTGGTGTATTTGGAAGTAATATGGAGGATGATTTCGGGGGCAGATTCTAGAGATATTTCCATTATATATGAAATGTTGTCTGTGTTTTGTGTTAGCTTGATAAATAAAATATAAATGAAGAAATATTGACTGTTGTGTCTGAGCTTTGTAGAAATAAAATATATTGGATGGACACTAATATTATTTTTTTGTGTTTAAATGCATCAGTTTGAGTAGAACAATTACAAAAAGAGATGGTAATAAGTTGTAAATTTCTTTTAGCTTTTACAGCTCACATATCTATACATATTAGAAAAACTAAATGAGGGGTTTCAGGACAAATATGAATAAGATGAAGCGAACAACAATGTTTTTAGAAGGTAAAACAGGGTATAATTAGGGTAAAATTATATTTTTTTAAAAACAAAGACTTATATAATTCAATCTAAAAGCTTAAAAATCTTGAATGCATATAAATATATATATATAAGCAAGCATATAGATTCAATTCTGTTTATTTATATAGCACCGATTCACAGCACAAGTCAGCACATGTCACATTTTGATCCCTGATTAGAGAGTGATATAAATTCACAGGTTGGAAGTGATCTGTAAAGCCATATTTCTGTTTTTGAGAGAGCTGGCTTTAAGCCTAAGCATGCTTAGGGGCCCAATGCCAGCAGGGGACCATCAGGAGCCCTTGAGTTTCATGTAGAAAATAATTCAGTAGGTGTTTTCTAATTTTTATTTTATTTGTTATCAAGCTGATAAGAAAAAATACAGTTTTGAATAAGAGTAACTATATTTGACTAAGTGGAAATGGAATAAATGGACACGTTACATAATGTCTAAATTATTTCAAGATTTGATTATTTATATATTATTATCATTTATATAATATTTTATTTTTTTCTGTTTTTGCCTCTGCTTGTTTGAGCTGGGATCATATTTTAATCAGACTGTAACTGCAAACAAATCACAACAAGAAACTATATAAAAGTAGGCCTACGGCAAACAGCATAGTCCATAGTCATAGTCGATGTCTGAAGCTGTATATGAAAGGTTTACACTGAACCTTACAGCAAGCACTGATAAATAACCGAATTCTACTATTTCATTTTCATATTGAGGTCATGTTGCCTTCTCTATAGGCAGGCCACTTAGGACCCCATTTACCTTTGGCTCGGCCCTGCTGGACATGGCCACCCTTAGCAGTCATTTTTTTCACCCTCTAATACAGACGATGGCAGCAATAATACTATCAAGACGAATGTTTAAGCTTATTAAACATTTAAATTTTTTATATATTAATACTTACTTGACAACTTAAACCCTGTGGTTAATTATGCACATCAAAAATACTAATATTAAGGTTGATATATACAGAATTCGTGCACTTTTAAGAGCCTAATTTTGTATTTTAAGGGGTAAAGAGAAAATTATGTGTCTCTGCAAGTCAATAAGGAGTTTTTACTGAAATCATAGATAAATTATTACTTTAATAATAACTTAAAAATCCATTTAATGTAGATATCAGTAAATTTAATATTAATGTTATGCAGAACAATTTTTGATAAAAGTGGGTAAGTAATGACATTGGAAAAGTTGTTTGCCACAGACATTTTGTCCACTATACCTTTTATTTAGACAGCAAGGATGTTTAAATATATGGATCTATTTGTAATTGTTTATTTAGAAAATATGGATGTTGTGCTCGTTCCTGTTGCAACAGCGTAGCTGGACCCTGAGGTTCCTCTTTTGGCCCCCTTCAGTTTACATTTAATTTTCTGGCTACGCCTCTGGTGGGGGCTGCTAACGCAACAGCTGAGGCAGATCTGCAGCTTGATTGCAGCACTCAGCAGACCCCAACATAATTGATGACCTAATTGAAAACCAGGAGGAGGAGGAGGACGCAGAGACGCGCTCCAATCAGAAAAGTTTACTTGTTCCTACCAGTCCCCCCCTCATACACACGCACACAGCTGAGGGCATTGATGTGAGCGCTTTCAGTTTTTTACGCGCACTTCTTCCCCCTCATCTCGCACCCTCACACACGGAGCACCTAATCCACCTTCGCACCTTTTGTTTTTACAGCGCGTCTCTTTTCTTTTTCCTTTTTTTCCCTCCCCTCCTGCAAACTTTTTCCTCCGTCTCTTAATGAATGATTCTGTGTAGCTGTAAAACTTCCAAAGCGAACCCGGATTGCTCTTCTACGCGACCTCACCTCCGCACATCTCCGCTCAAGTTCAAACCCCAGCAGGACTTCAGGCGCACTTGGAGTAAAACCCACCCGGCGAGGAAAAACCTGATCCTGTGCGCAGCCACGGCCGAAGCGAGCGTCACCATGAGTCTGAAAGCTGACTCTGAGCCCAACAACAACGTCTCCATCGAGGAGGAGGTGAGTTTCACCCTGGACTATCTTTGTTTTTGTCAGTTTATTGGGTTTTTGCAGGACTTGGACCCGGTCATGTTGGAGCTTCCGGCCCCTCTGAAGAGCCTGGGCTCCTCACTGAATGAAAGGAAATTAATATTTGCTGGTTTTTATAGAGGTTAGGAAATATGCAGTTTGAATCGTATATAAACGGTGTAGTGGGCCTATTTATCATTTTATCTATTTTAAAATGGATTTTAAGTAATAATAAAAATACAATCTTGAATAACCTAGACATCTTTTACACTCTTAGCCTAAAGGGTTTATTTATAATTTTCTATTGTTTTGTTTTTTTTTATTTTCCCTTTTTGTGCATTTTTGTTTTACATAAAAGTATGAATTTGTATTTTTTTTTTTCCCACTAGCCTTGAATAGTGTTTCGTTGGGACCAACCACGTATCAATTGCTTTACTGTACATTTTAATCTTTTAAAAATGGCTGCATTTATTTTAACCTTCATTTTAAAAAAATAAAGCTTCATTATATAGATGTCTTTCTTTAGTGTAATAAAATATTAGGCAATAATCCTATTTTTATTTTTTTAACTGAGTGATTAAA